CCCCCCCCCCCCCCCCCCCGACTCGGCCATGCCTTTGCAGGTGGAACAAGAGGCCGAGGAACTGAACAAGCTTCGCCGCAAGCTGGTGATGCGGGTGGAAGACGTGCTTGAGCAAGAATTTAAGGCGAGTTGTTGTCCGAGTACAAGGTCCGTCTTCCACACAACCTTATTTCGACGTTGCGAGGCGCTCTCGTGTTGTCATGACAAGTATTTCATTGCTCTCATTCATATATATATTCGTGCCTGTGTGTTTTCCCTCCCCTTGCATCTTAATTTCCCTTTCCCGCCGGGGCAAAACGCAGGCTTGCGCCGAGAGCGGCGAGACACGTGCTGATGGCCAAACTTCGGCGGCTTTTCTGCTCAAGCGTTGGGACGAGGACGACAACGGGCACCTCAGTTACCAAGAACTGCACCAGTGAGTTAGATTTTGTTATGCTGTATACGCAGCGACCGCTGTCTACCCATCCCTTTTTGAATTCAATCCGGAGATGTGGTAACCGGCGCGGAAACCAGGTGTGCGTCGCAGTGCTTGAACGTCGTTGACAAATATCAGTAGCCGCAAGCAAATGCGAAACCGAGGGTGAGACAATGTAGACCTCTTAGGACCAGGAGAGGTGAGTATGAAGCAGTTTTTGGTGCTTCTCCGTATTCTTTTTGCTTACTCTCCCTTGATAGCAACGAAGAGGTCCACCCTCTTTCTTTTCCCTGTTGCTGCCGGTCTCGTTCCCTTCCGGTAAACGGATCCCGACCCCCCCCCCCCAATGTTCCTGCGGTGCTCCTCCCCCCTCCCCGCCCCTTCCGACGTCGAATCGTTGCTTTCCGTTGTGCACGTGGATTCGGGCGCCCGCTTGTGATTCTAAATGGCAATGGCAACGGCGGTACCTTGAGCACAGGGGGCTGGAGGAAATTGGCCTCCTTCTCTCCAGCAAACAACGACGGGAGTTGATTCGCCTCGCGGACCCGGACAGGAGCGGTGGCGTGGATATCAAGGAGCTGACTGAGCTGCTCTACGACGTTGAGGTCGAGATAGCGGCGGGCCGAAGTGTAGACGAAGAACAGGCCGCGGCGGCAGCGCCAGGACGCATGGGACTGACCACCAGTTTAAGCACGAAGGTCGGTTTCCGTAGGACAGGCAGCGGATTGCGTCCCAACGGTTTGTCTGACGGTGGCGTGAATGACAGGGTGGAGCGTTTGCTGCGCAAGAGGGCGTCCGAGAAGTGGTCGTGAGAAAGGCCGCGACACAGATGGAGCAACTTTAATGACGGTGTGTTGACGCTTTACTTTGTGTGGGCATTTTATTGGTGATCGTGGTGGTGTGGCGGTCGTGATGAAGGATGAAGGATGCCGGTTGGCGTCCAAGCGCTATTACTATTGGAGGTTTGGCTGCGGCGCGAAAGCGTGTGCGGAGCCTTGCCTGTCGGGGAGGACGGCCGGAAAGAAGTTCGTGAAAGTGTTCCACGACAGAAGCAGACCGGGTGATGAGAAGGTCTTGCCGGGGGGTGGTGAGAGGTCTCTTGATGGTGGTGTTGGTGTGACCGGGCGTTGAATGGGTGTCAAGAGGTTGTTCGTACCACCAGGGCTCGAGGGCTTTGGGATGGAAGCGGGGGAGAGGGTGGTCGTGAGTGCCAATTCTGAGTTATTTTACTCTCTGCAGGGCGAGGCACGGGGGGGGCGCGCGGTAGCGTGGACTGGCATCAATGGTACATGTCCATGTCCCACATTTCTGCCAGATGTTCGTTTTTGGGGGAATCGATGGCGGCGTCTACTGAGACTGGGCTTGACTGATAACTCTAGGGGGATGCTGTCTTTCTTTGCTAATAACGTGTACGATACTTGCACTTGTACGCACTTCTTGATGGTGTCACCAAAAGCTCCAAGTAGGGGATGGGACAGCTAAATAGTGTTGTAGAAGTCACAGTATTGCATGCAAGTCCTCAGGAGGCAAAGCAAAGTTACGAGGCGGCGTGAGTCAAGAGCGAGTGCTCCTCTGTTGTCACAATACCAAATATAATCTTGTTTTAATAGCAGCGTTGATCGCTGGCGTCCATGTGCGATGCCTATCTTTAGTCGTCAAAGTCGCAAAAGGCGGCGGAGTGCACGGCTGCGACCGTCAACGAATTCCCGCACCATTCGCATGTTGTCGACCTGGTTTCCGCGTTCATAACGCTACTACTACCAGCATAACGACCGGCACATCTTGCACCCTCGGGCAATGGGGCGTTGGCTCCAGCCTCCCAGTGATTTTCGGGACTGATGGCAGCGGAGTTCGCCGCATCATATGCCAAATCGGAGAGCGAAATCGTTCCTTTACCGGCTGCTGTATGGCCCGTTGGTGTCCTTCCGAATTCAGGGCCGGACGTTTTATCGAGCGGGACGGTTGCACTGGTTTCGCCCGCAGCAATGCTTTCGTCCATAGCAGGACAGGGGACGGCCGCATGTAGCGGCACGTCGCGGTTCTGATCCTTGGGGCAGGAGACGGGTGTTGTTGCCGTCGTTGAGCTGTTTTGGCATTTTGTGCCGGAGAACATGTCGACGACGGCCGTAACCCCCGATCTTGAGACGTGTGCGCCCCCACCTCTCGAAAGCAGGCCGTCCAGTCTCGATCGCTCTCCGTGGTCCCTTCCGTCCTCCATCCACAGCCACAACTCGGCGGCGTCTACTATACCGCCGGACGTTAAGCACCCAAGGTCGTCGGTTTCATTCTCGAACGATTGCCCTTTCGGGCGAGCAGCAGAGTGGGAGGTTGGCATTTCCCCTTTTTCTCTACCGCCCGTGAGGCTACCATGCCTCCGCGAGACAGTCCGACTGGGCCCCTCGTGCCTGCCTCTACCGCTGGTAGGGCGATTACCCACGGTCTCTACTGAGCCACGTGTCCTGATCGTGACACCATCCTTGGATGTACGCCGTGCAACGGTGGCCGATCGCTTCCTCTGGGGACTTGGCCGCCATGCACGGGACACTGGATCACCCTTAGTATCATCGTCAAGCGGTGGTGGCGGTGCCTCAAGCCGACAGTCATACCCACTCCTCACAAAAAAGTGACGGATAAATATGGCATCTCGAGCAGCCGCACGACGACAGAACTCGACGAATGCCTCCCGCGTTAACACTGTCGTGCCCAAGGCTTGGTTATCGGACGTCTCCGGTAGGCCGAATGCCGCCGATTCACGGTTAGGGGAAAGCTCGGACGGTTGGGTTGTTTTCCTGAGAGCGTGTTTAGGCGGCGGAGGTAATCGCGGCGGTGGTGGCTCGACGTCGGGGCGCGTCCATATCTCCTGAAGGGCGGATACCTCGGCCGAGAGAAGAAAGGCGCGGCCCGGTTTGCCGCTTGGAACGTAGCGGTCGAAGACCTCTTCAACGGCTCTCTTCGCCTCGGCCGTAAGGCTCACTCCACCGTCATCTTCTGTTGTGAAAGAGATGTGTCCCTCCTTTGCCCGCCGCGCCCTTTCTGCAATAACTGGCTTCTGCCTCGGTTTATCAACGCTAGGGCTCACTGTGTGCTCTAACACTGCGGTTTGCACCCATTCGGCGGCGGCGCTATCAAATACTCTCCGTGTCTTTCTACCACTCCTACCGCCGGCCCCAGGCCATGAAGATCGGGCTCCTCGCAACGAATTACGGTCACGCTGTAGATACCCGGGCCTCGTTGTCGATGGCATCCGTTCCAGTGTGTCTAAAACCAACCCATCACAAGCGTCAGCAGTAAATTTAGGTGCCCCACCCCCCCGCCACCCACGTCGCGGCGTCACCCCCGAAGCTCCAGCAGTCTCAGCAGGTGAAAGGAGATTCGTCTCTGATCTTGACCTCCTTCGTCCTTCATCTTCTAGGGAGACCTCCACACGTGCTGGTAACGAAGGGATGGGAGTACCTCTCCTCCTGTCAACCTTCTTCCGTACCTTATCGCCGGCGATACCACGATCCGAGCCTTGCTGGTTGCTGGGTACGTCGGCAAAAGGCTGCGATGACAACACCGACGGGTTATGGCGCCGCTGGTGGGACGGTCCGTTCATGTTTGGAGACCTGCCACTAGCGGTCGATAAAAAGTGTCTGGGGGCGTCAATAGGTACCTGGCTTTCCCATGGGCTAATGTAAGCCCCGCGGGACGACCCCGATGAAAGCAACCGGGATTTGACGTCCCTCGTCCATCGTTTGAGCTCGTTCACCATGCTGCAACTGAGGTTTTGTACACCAGAGGATGGTGCAAGGTGACTTGAATCCCGCGTTCCGATCGTCGCCTTCTCCGTGGGGGTCTTGTTGGCGATGTGCTGCTTCGGTTTGTTTCGCACGCTCTGCGCGGTCTGTTCATTTGTGCCGTGTTTTTAGAGATTCAGGGACATGTGCAGGGGGCAAGAGAAGAGAAACGTTGGCTTCGATGAATAGCAGCATTTTACTAACAGTCACGCCAGAGCTCAAACAAAAGACCGCGACAAACTATAAGCCGTTCGTGTGCAAGGTAGAGGGTCAACTACGCAAAATCATGACAGTGTCAAGCATCACCACACCGGTATCCGAAGTAGCGAGCATAGGGTTTACCTTGGCATACGTCAGAGTGTTGAGCGTTTCTTCCAGCATCCCGTTGTTGGGGGTGATATTCAGAATGATGGCTGTGAAAGCGTTCCCACCGAGACTGTCCCCCAGCACCCGCGTGAGCTTCGACTCGCGGTAAGGGATGTGCGGAGCGTGCTTAACAAGGGCTTTGATCACCCGGCCCAGCGCTAGCAGGCTCTGGCAAGGTTGCCAAAGATTGCCAGAAAAAAAGTGGCAAGAACGCAATGGCAGCTGGTGTCAACAGAGAATGGCGGAGAAATAAGTCTCCTCGACAACCGATACGCTTTATGTTGTTCTGCTGCTAGACAATACCCCTTCCACGGTCGATGGCGTGTTTCCACCCCTGCAATGGTCGACGGCGTGTTTCCATGTGGTGGCCAGTTTCACGTTGGTTACATATATTTCTGTGACTTGGGAACGCCTTTGCATATCCTGCCGGAATCCCATGGGCATGTTGTGCAACGGAGTTGGCCGTGTGCAGATATAGCACAGCAATGGTGATGGTTGTCACGAGAGTGAGTGAAAACAATCGATCGGATACGATTCCATGCCAGCGAAGAATCGAAGCAAATACGCAGCCTAAAATAAGTCAAGATCCTTCAGAAGTTCACCTGTCCGATCGCAGCTGCCTCTTTCGCCCTATCTCCGACAGCCCCAGACCTCTTGATGTTCTCGGAGCCTGAGAGATCGACGAGGCTGAGCCGCCCGTCTCGGGTGATCTCACCTCCCCACGGCGTGGGCTCGGCGGAAATGACTCTCACGCAGAAGACCCCGTGACTCCTGCTAGACTCGACGTTGCACATTGTCTGGGAGGGAGGCAGTCACGCCCCGGGAGCAATGTGACAGCGGCGGTGACAGGTGAATCAAGAAGTGAGGATGGCGGGTGGTGTTTTTGGAAATGTTCGAGAACGCGAGTGAGCTGCTAGTCGATTGCCGGGATGGGCGGCGTTATTAACTTCGGAAGCATGGATACACGTTGCTCTGTCGATAGCGACGACTCGCCAAGGGGAACGGGGTGCTTCTGGCTCGCCTGCAGGTTGCCGAGAATATCCCGTAACACAAGCGCACTTTTGAGAGTGGTGGGAAGGCAATTGAGTTGGCAGCCTCAAGGGGCTACAAGTGTGTCGTTCTTGGTTGCACGAGATACAAATAGAAGCGTTTGGGAGCGAACCAACGAGGGAAAACAGTTGGAAGGGTGTACTTGAATCATGGGTTTGCTTCTTCACACCTCAGCCGTGCGCCTGTTGTTCTTGCTCCTGGCGATGATGGCGAATATCTCCTCCGGGCTCTTCACCTCCACCTGCGTCAAACCCTTAACCATCACCCCAAGATGCCGGTCTTCCTCGATCGTTAGTCCGATCCCTTGAGGAGGGTGGCTGCCGCTGCTGCCGGGGGTGATACGTGGAGATCGGTGTGTTGGGGAACGGGAACGACCAGATGTAGAAGAGGGGGCCGCACTGCTGTTCGTCGCGGAGGCTTTGGCCAAACTGGCGGCCTCAGGGGCTAGCAAATCGAACAGCCTCTCGTTGTAGATCTCCATATGGGACACGTATACCCAATATCGCCGGGTCCCACCACATCCCCCCTCTCGGAATATCGTGTGCACTGCCCGTGGTATGATGCCAACCTTTTCGACCTTGCACGCGGTGGCATCGCCGTCGTCAGGGTCGGCCTCTGCCGCCTTCTTCACATCAGTGTTCGGGTCCACTAGCCCACCCTCCATGGTGAACGTCTTTCCGGACCCAGTTTGACCGTACGCCAAAACAGAGCAATTGAAGCCATCGAGCATTTTCCGCACTACCGGACAGACTGCTTCCGAGTACAATCGAGCCTGGCTGGTTCTGGGACCTGAGTCGCGTTGTGGGTATGGAGGCGAGGGTGGAATGGAGAGGAAAGAATGGAGCTGTTTTGGTAGAGCCACACCCACTTCGTTCGATTTATGTGCGCCTTGGGCCCAAGAGATTCGACCTCCTAACAAACCACAGTATCTCGCCGCCAAAATGTATGACGCCCTTTAGGGTTGGTGGCGTTGATAGTGTGATGTGTTTTATGCCTACCCTCTAAGGGTATTCTGCCAGTTACAGCACGGGAGTGAAAACATTTTGTCACTAGGCAAGTCTTCCGAAACGGCGTACGGAAGGTGAGGGAAGTCTTACCAAAAACGCGGTCGAACCCAAACCTCCTCGATCGCTTTGTCGGCAATCTTTCATCCGACACAACAATCTCGTTGCCGTCGCAGAACACGGCGGCCCTCACCCCTCGCTTCATCTCCCGCGTGAGCAACGGACGGCACCGTGAAACAACCGCGATGTTGACCGGAGCGTTACTTTCTTCTTGCCCTACCCCGCTACCATCATCGCCATCAGTATATTCCTCGTCGGTAGCCGAGCGGCGACGGGAAGCGAACAAAAATTTCCTGCCCGGACTAGACGCGGGAACTGCTTCGTCGTCCTCAGCCAACGCCGAACTGAGAGCTGCCGCTCGTTTCGTCGCTACTGCTGCTGCTGCTGCTGCTGCTGCTGCTGCTGCTTGCGCTGTTTGATCCTTCGCCCTGCCGGTGCTTCCACCGCCGCTCTCTGTACTACGGTTCCCGTTAACGATGCCTCGTTCTGCCCGTCCTATTACAGCGGGTACGTCTGCTGTTTTTTTCGGGGGCACCCCTGCAGCCGTGATGCGTACCGTCGGGAAATTCTGGCGGATAGAGCTGACCCTCCGAACTCCCGCGCCGGGAACGCTGCACCATAGCGCACGGCAAGTACCCGTCCTCTCAGCTGTGATGTAAAACCTGCGGGTACAAGCGCACATGAACGGAGGCGCGGAACACGACAGATCGCGGGAAACCCATGTTTATTGTTGTCATTGATATGATGCCTGTACGAGGCACGTTTTTTTTTTTTTTGTCTTCACTTCAAATCAGCGCTCACAGCACTGGTGGTGTCAACTCCAACCCGTGGTCACACACAAGAGCCCCTCTCTACCCTCCCCTCCTGCGGTACTTTGCCTTCGATTTTTAATGCGAGAAGGGTTCAGCACTCTCTTCCCTCTGTGTACACACGAACTAGCGCTATCCACTAGGCCAGGAGCGGAAGCGAGAGAAAATCTCACTTTGCAAGAAAAGCTGGCTTACGCCGGGATTCAAACTCCTGATCTGACCTCTAGAAGGTTTCGAGGATACCAACTAGACCACCGGGGCGACCGGTGCCACATGGGGAACATCGACCGGCGTATCGCGTACCAGGACGGGATTCAGCCTGGGCTAAAGTTACAAATGGCAGGATAGAGCCATGCTACGCAAGCTGAACCTCTTGCAAAAGTAGAAACAAATGAAAAGGCTGGAATGTGTGACTACATTAACTGTTACACTCACAAGTTCATATCATCATCGACGGCCAGAGTGGCCGCAAACCCCGAAGAAATTCGCGCAAGTTTTCCCTCGCTATGGGAATCTCCAACATCGTCGCCCCAAGTGACGCCCGCATGTTTGTTTCGCCACGCAGACGACACTCGTTTCCGCTTTTCACATGCCGTGCGACTTCTGAAATCTTCTCGCCGGGGATCAACTTGTGGGACACGGCAGCGTTTTCTCGTCGACAAAGACCCTATCGATGTAACCGTACCATCGTGGCTGGCCCCGCATAGCGATATGTAGACGGCACCCCCCGCGCCTGCGACAAGACCAGTGATGACCGGCAGTCCTTCGGCGACCAACCAGCTGTCTTCGGGGGAGTAAGACGGAGGTGCAACGGGCCTCATTGAAAGGGTCTCGTCGGCTGTGTTGGTCGATAGTGTCGTATGGGGAAACCTCTCGACGTCCATCTCGTTCGCCGGAAACGCACGAATGACGCCCTGGCTTTTCGCAACGCTGACCCCACCATGTAGGGGGAATGGGCGGGAGAACGCGACGACGATCGTTCCGTCTCTGAGAACGCATAGCCCTACGGGCTGCTCACGATGGCGTTCGCCATCCTTTTTTGATGGTAAAGGCGACTGGAAGACAAGTATCTCGACAAAGTCCACCACACCGCGCCGCCTGCGGGACCGGACAGAACGCTCGGACCTGTTTTCTTCTACCCGAGCTCCGATCGATACCCCGGCCACCTCGTGGTTGTCGTGGTTGTCACAATTGCCATCTTCAGAGTCGTTGGAAGAACTGCCCCAATCGGTGTCTGACTCAACGTTGAGGAAACTTAGGTCGTCGGCAGATGTGCCCACGGGGTCGGGTTTCTGTTTTGCGTCAAGCTGGGTGCCAATCCCACCCGTCTGTCTATCGTGCCGATGGGACGTTGCGCCTTCTTCTCCGTTCGCAAACCGCCTTCTTTTCGCCTCTTCGTTGCTCAACCACGCGCTCAAGTGAGATCCACACAAGAACCGAACTCTATATCGTTTTGGTCTGCGATAGAGATGTTGCTGTGAGCCATCAAGATTCTTAGCTTGGTCGGGGTCGTTGTCGCAATGTCGTCGTTTGTGCAGTTCTTCCAGGATAAACACGCTCGAGTCTGTGCCGCCGATGCACAAAGCGATCGGCTTGCACAAATTGTCAACCAATGTTACTGCCTGTTTTGCTCCCCACCGGAGGAAGCGCAGTTGCCATATTCGAGGAGAGGGCGGGCGATTCCTAGATTCTCGTTCTTGGTTGACATGTTCTTCTCGAAACGTCCGGTTGGCACTATGCTCTGGGGGCTGTGGTGTGGTCGTCGTTCCTTTCGACGAACTACTACAATCCACTGCGACTGCTGGTGATGCTTGCTCGATAAAAAAAACTCCTCTGCCTGTACGTGTAGTTGTTGCCGCTGCCACGAGAATGGGCCTGTTCAACCCACTCAGTAGGATCTTGACGACTTCTTCTTTTTCTTGTTTGTGTTTGCCTACGCCGTTATCTGGAGATCGTGCTTGCGCCGGCATCACAGCAGGACAAACCGTGCTCTCAACGACAAAGGGTATATTTGTCTTCTTCGGTTCTGCAACCACGGTGGGGCGTAAGGAGGCCTCTTCTAAAGCAGCCCTGGAGAGACGATCGACAGGCTCCGTTCGGTGTTGGCATATTCTACCGTCGTATTGATCCTCCCGTTTCTCCGGTGAAGCCGTTTGAGAACCTTCAACAACAACATTCGTCAAACCGTCTTCTGGTGGATGCTCTCCCACCTGGCCGGTGTTGTTCTCCACTACCAGAGTTCGCCAAGCAACCGCATCATTGACGTCTGCCTTTGGATTTCCTGTCGAAAGTGGCAGACTCTTTCTTCGTCCTTTTCGACTATCGTCTGCACGGGCACTGGAAGCCGAGTTTGAACCTGACTGGTGCTCCGTTCGGCGCTGTGCCGTTGCACCTTGGCTGCCATGTGCCAGCAATACGTCACCAGACCCTGTTGGTACTGTGGGTTTGCTGTCTGGTACTGATAGACCAACAGCAGTAGGCGCCAATCGTACGGGAAAATGGTACGAGCGTCGACGTCCTGGGAGCTGGTCGACCCGGGTCGGGCAAGAGAGCATCATTCTCCCTAGCAGCCCTCTCCGCCTGTCCACAAATACCAGCCATCGTCGTCTGACTTTTTTTTTCGCGACGGTGCAAGTCGCATCAGGTTCACTGGGTTCGTCAACAACGGCGATGCTGGTAAAGCTGCACGGCTCAAGTAGTACTTCGTGCTGCATACATCGAAACAGCAGAGACATATTGGGCCAAAGGGAAGATTTGATGCGGACCGCGTACCATGACCAAGGCATGACAGCTATAAAGACTAATAGTCTATAGTGCAGTTTGTCAACAACCGTACTTTTCGGACGTACGTGCGCCCAATAGATTTCTCTGCCTCGCATATCGTACCACTGTCTACTTACGTGAAGCAACCGAGATAACGACAAGCTTGTGCACGTTCTCGAGAGAGGTAGGATATGGATTCCATTGGGTAACGGCGCAATTAGCACCGCACACCCACACCTCCAGCTTCGCAGCCATGTGTTTTATGCAAAACAAGTGAAAACACGCGAACAGAGTGCATCAACCGGTCGACTGCATGTACACTGTAGGAATAAGTCTACGTTGGTACAAGTTGTAGTCTAGTCTCCAAACTACCAACGCAGTCTTGTATAGTAGTACCTGAAACGAGCCATGCAAGAAGGCGGGCGGCTTCGCTGTCATGGTGAGCAGGACCTATAGTCTAATGTCCTTGATGTGAGACTGGATGTGCTGTGCCAAGCGTTCGCCCTTTTTCGTCGGTCTGAAAAAGGTTCAATCATGCCCGCACATGGACGATCCACTGCTTTGGAAATAATAGTATGAACATGAACGTTTAGGCGCTACTACTGCTGTACTGCACCACCGCTTGGACTGCTGCTCTACTGCTGCTGCTGTGCGCAAGGGCAATTTCTGGAAATTTCGCCGCATCGCGACGAAACGTCACCAATCCTGCCGCATCTCCTATCAGAGAAGATCTGCTTTATCGCGACATCCCCGCCCGGGGCAATTGTGTATCAAGGCGCATGTAGCAAAAGCTAGGTGAGACTCGTATTGATTTGTAGAGGTGGAAGTAAAGTGGAATTGCGGTGGTGCGTCTGCCACTTCGGTGAGCCTCTGTAGTTAGCCTGAACGTGAGTGTGAAACGTTGGTGAAATGTTCAGGACTCCAAGACCAAGTGTGTGTCTAGACTTCACGCGTACCTGGGAGGGACTATAGTGGTTTCCTGGACCTTGAGGCAACTAGCCTGATACCTCTTTGTCCATAGTTATATTTAGAAAGCCCTTCCGCGGTTATAACAGACCGTATTTTTGGTAGTCTCGAGCTGGTCTCGAATCCCATTTACAAGGCTGATGATTTCTTTGTCAAGATCGAAGTCACACATTTTTTTAATTGATTTTGCGAAGCATTGATGCAATAGAACTAATATTATTACTTTACTTTCTATGTTCTGGTTGTCAGCGTTCTGTTTTCCAGGTTGCGTCTCACAGACTTAGTCTGCAGCCTGCTCTCGAATTCGAAGTGGTTAGGACTTGGACGAGCAAGATCATCAACAAAGGCAACATCTTTGCATCCAAGACGGCAACTTGTCGGTCGATCAAAAGGGGAGCTGCCGCGGGGTTCTGTGCAGATAGCTACCATCATGTCGAATAAACACCAACATATTTTTGCGGAAGACATGTCGGATGAGATGTGCCACTTTGCCTTGGAAACCAGCCAAGAAGCGTTCCAGTTGACGATCACGAAAGGCCAGGTGGGACGCGAGGAATGCACACGACGATACTTTGCTTGACTAGCTATGGACCGGTAGTTGAACAAGGCCAAACTACATAGATTTGTGACTGCTACACCTACACCCAACACTTGTCACAACGACGTTTGACTCGCCGCCACACGGCCAGTAAATGAAGTTCATCCCAACCGAATCGCAGTATTCCGTTGCGGGTGGTGTATTCGTCATACTGTAGCCGCCATATGTGGGTGATATGTATATGGGAGAGAAAACAGAGCCACACCGAGGAAAATGGCGACAGCATTCTAGTCTAAACTTGCAATAGGGCGGAACGTTTGATGGTCATGACTGGACATTGGAATCTGGAAAACCACGTATGATGTACTCGATCACAACAAATCCGGAGTGTGATATTGCTGGCAAGAAGACTTATTGTCCCCCGGATCGCGACAAGAGCGAAGAAGCGTTCCTGGCCAACTTCGCAAATTGATCGGTCAATAGAAAGATGGAAATTTGAGGGCTGCTGGAGCAGACACAGTAAACGTTGGGTATCGGGATCGATTAGTCTAGTCAAAATGATTTACGTAGCGAACGTCCAAGGAATAACTTGAGCGCAAGCAATCGTGGCTTATAAACTTGCCTTGTCTTCGTTATTTCTCCATGACTACCGGCGGATTCTCAATTATCACCGGGTGATCAACCCATTGACTACAATAAATACGACGACGACGACGACGACGACGACGAGCAAGGTGTTCACAACGATTGCTTCGTGCATCCGCAAAGCATTCGAGAAGTCGTACGGCCGAGGCTGGAACGTTGTTGTTGGGAGAAGTTTTGGGGCCTACGTGACCCACGAGATCAAGACGTACATGTACTTTACTGTTGTCCCGGGGGTCTATGTGCTGCTGTGGAGGTGGGTCTTGATGTCCGAAGGATTCGTCTTTTTGCATCGATAGTATCACCTAGACGGGCCCGGAGCAATGCCTCAGCGGGGCACTTCAGTGCCGAGGAAAAAAGAAACGAAAAAACATTAAAGAACATTTTTCCCTGCTGACCCGCACACAACCCTTTTATCTCCCATCTACTCAACTATTCCCCGGCAGAGCGTAAAAGACCTTCACCGACAGGAATGAATGCAATCAAGCAAAAGACGAATCACCATGTACTGAGTGCTGCGTCGGAGGGATTGCAACGCGGTCTGGTAGCCGCCGATATCGGGACCGGAAAAGAGGGCGGGACAGCCCTTTCATCACATGCCTCGCCGGGAGCATGGAAAAAACAATACAAGCACCCCGGGTTGCAGGATCCGGGCGCAAAAACGCCTCTCCCAGCCACTTGTGCTGTGTTCTGCGTGTGAAGGCTGCCGAGTTGGTGTTCGTCGGATTGTTTTGGGAAATCATTGGCGTGAAGTAGTGACGAGGGACCGTTGATGAACCAGCCGTGCGCAGGAACGGTAGTGGGCAGATCCCTCGCGCGACCGACGAAAGACCGCGCAAACAGAGTTGTTTAGCCCTGGACCACAGGTATGCTCAAGCTTAAATTATTGGTGTGGCAAGAAAATACTATGGGGGGGGGGGGGGGGGGGTTT